AAAATGTCTACAGTAGTTGTCAACCTTTCTAGTGCCACGACCCTGTAATACAGTTCCGGATGATGTGGCGACCCCCCAACAACAAAAACCATTTTCGTTGCTACTTCATAACTGTAAACTATGTCTGTTTTCCGATGGTCTTAGGCGACACATGTGGAAGGGTCGTTCTAACCCCGTAAGAGGTCGCGACCCACGGGTTGAGAACTGCTGACCTAGAATCATCTTATGGCATGTCAGAGTACCAAGGCACCGCTCCCGATCTCTATAGTCTGACTCTAGACTAGTGAGATGAAAACAAAAATATTGACAGCCATTTCAATTTCCGTTAATATTTAGAGCTCATGTTTTTTTTACCATTATCCACAGATTATATTTGACAACATTTTGAAGTAGGTTCAATAAGTTTCAAATTTAGGTTAGTAGCTTATTATTCTTTGTTAATTACGAGTGAAAAATAAGACACATTTTTTGCTGGTAACGAACAAAAGTACAAAGATAAACTTGAAATGATAGCTATTTTATTTTCTACCATAACGATTGGTTCACAGACATAATACTTAATGGCTGGAGAGTCCGTTAAAATTTGACCTGGAAGACGTATGCGTAAAATTTCCAATAGCAATTTAGGAAGTCAGTAAAAAAAATGAGATGTTGTATAAAAAATGAATCCGAAAACAAAGTGGTGTTTATTAGCATTTGTGATTTTTTTTTATGCTTGCTTTAATCATGTATGACTATAATCGGCACAAATCAACGAAGAGAAGGAAATACATTATAATAAGGATATAAAATAGCCTCATGTCCTTATCACATAGAGACATACAGGCATACCCATAAAAACATCTTGGTACGGGGTATATTATTTGTTTTTAAAAATTAGATTTGTGCGTTAATTTTACAAATATTTCAGTAAAATCTTGGTTGTCCTTAAAAACGTGGAGATTTAGATTCCATGTTTGTCCGTAAAATTGTGGAGATTTATTTGTCCGTAATTTAATTTGCTGAGTTTGCAGCCCCGAATAAAAATCATTGAAGCGTGACGTCATTTTTGTAGCTTTTACTTACCCCAAATGCTTTAATTTACCTAGTACTATGCCTTATTTCTCATGACCCCCCTTGTCAAATTATACACGCATGTGTTAATTCATATTTTCACACAACATTTTGTTAAGAACGCTTTGACTGGAATTTTCTAAAAATCTTACACAATGGCTTACATTTGAAAGAATTGTATTTTTACACATTATTTTTTCTTTTACAATTGAAAGTTTTTATTTATGGTCTAGATTTAAATATTGTTATTTTTAAAAGTTTAGAATTGATAAAGTTTAATTCAAAATTTAAGGAGCATTGTTTCTGAAATATAGTTAATGAGAAGATAGGAAAAATTGAAATAAGGTTAAAATAAAATCTAATGATACAAATTAGACTGTGCATCAAGCTAATTATATTTTCTAAAATAGCTGCGTTATAAGTAATGTACATCGTAGAGAATGATTAATTAAACAATATTTTAGTATAATTAATAGTATACTTTTGAGCAATATGAAAAACAATATTTCATTTGCATTCAGTTGTAAATAACTTCAAAAGCCAGGGAGGCAATTGCAAATAAATATACTTTTAAATATTTACTTTATGTTAAATATAACACACATCCCCATAAATATCGTTTGTCTCAGATGGACACAATTGTATACGTATAACATTTTATATTTTATAACAACTGCATTAAAAGCTCAAAACAGTTAAATTATAACAACAAACAAACAAACAAATACGTGTTACGTTTGAAAAAATATGATCTTGTATACTTCGGAATCCAATTCTTAAGGGTGCATTGTTATTGTGGTCAACTTCACCAAGGCGTATCACTAACTATTGTGTTAGACGGGCTTGTTATGGTAGAATGGCAGACGAAAGACGACCTTTATTTCCTCTATGCTCTATGAAAGAAGAGTTTTTCTTAACATTTTTTAAGGACAAACAATGGATGAATATGGATAGAGAATACGAACTAACCAGGAATTGTAATGACTCTATCAGGATCCCACACTTTTAACAGAAATTTAAAAAGAAAAAAATGGGTAGGCTATGCTGGGGGAGAGACTTTCATTTAGAAAGAATGCCAAATTACAGAGGATTGAAGAGGGTGCACCACCAAAACCCCAGAGGAAAACGACTCAAAGGCTTGGATGGATGGATGATGTGGAAACATATCTACGGGAACTGGGAATCCAGCACGGGAAAAGGCATTAATTAGGTCTGAGTGGAAGGAAGTAGAGAGGCAGGCCAAAGCCCTACATGAGCTTTAACACCAAAGGGATGGGTGGATGGCTGAGCCTGTAACAGTCTCACAGAAAAATGAACTGAATGTAACGAGTTGCATGTTACTAATAATGTGTGATCACTGACTTATTGAGACCATATTTACAATATCACAAAGGATGGGGGTGGGAGTATTTAATTATGTGGGCCTATAATATATGCAAAATTCAGGGTCACCAAAAGTCCACTAAGTTGTGGAACGACCAAAAATCTGACCTAAAATGATTTGTCTGTAAATATCTGAGAAATCTTAAAGATGTGCGTTTCATAAAATGGAAATTGTATAAATATTTGTTAAGGTGAAAACAAAGCGGGAAATCTCAGAAATTGTGATTTCTTTTTGCTTGTTGATTATCAGTAGACATTACAATTGGGGTAAATATCACCCCAAATAATTATCTTCAAGTCTCATGGTTTAGGAAAAAAAGCAGTGGACACTACAATTGGTTTAAATCTCATACAGTTAATTGACGTCATGTATCATGGTTTAAGATAAAATGCAGAAAACATTTCAACTGTTTCATTGTCATACATTCCATTATTTTCATTTATCATGGTTTAGGACAGTAAGTAGTAGACATTACAATTGGTGTCAAATCTCATATAATTTATTACCATCATGTAACGCGTGCGGCTCTTGAGCGACCTGAGTGCCACTCGTCCAGCCGACCAAAAGTGCCACGCGTCCAGCCGGCCAAAACTCGGGTTTGACTCTGAAAAACATAGTTCTTGAAAGGTTTTTCAAAAGAAATGTGGCTCTCAATTTTTTTTTTAATCGTCCCGCTGCTGATTTTGTTGTCTCCTTTGACTAATGAGTTTGTCGACCACTTGTTTAGGATAATAAGCTGTAGCTATTTCACATTGGTGTGAATCTCAGAAAATTAATGACAATCTTGACTCATGGCCTCGGATAGCATTCGTTTTACCATCAATTAACTTCATGTCTCATGGTTTATGCTAATAAGCAGTGGAAATTGCAACTGGTGTGTATATCATGCTCATACAATTAATGACCTTCCTGTCCAATGATCAAGATTAGATTACTGTAATACCTCAGAACCAAATTCAGAGACTCCAAAAGATACAAAATACTGCAGCACGCATTGTATCGTGGATGAAGAAATCTGACCACATCACACCAGTTCTACGAGATCTCCTTTGGGTTCCTGTGAGTGAGCGCATCACTACAAAATTCTGTCCTTCTCGTAGAGCTGCATAGATGGCTCAGCACCGGAATATCTCAAAGAACTGATTTATAAACATGTATCCTTGAAGAGCCTGCGGTCTTCAACACAGTACTTGCTGAGTGTTCCTAGTGCGGATGAACAAACAAAAAAGTCTTACGGAGTGTTCTCTTTGGAAGTGATAGTGCCAAAATTATGGAACAGATTGCCCCAATCTTTGAGGGGAATTGTAAATGATAAAAAAATTATTAAAGAAACATTTAAAAACATGTTTGTTTCAATAGATTTCGGAAAACCAGAGCGCAGTGAGCATGTTAAAGTGGCGTGGATTCCACTCAAAATCAATCAAATCAATCAATCAATCAATCAATCAATCAATCAATCAATCAATCAATCAATCAATCAATCAATCAATCAATATTGGTGAAGCTTAGAAGTTATTTCATAGAAGCCATTTAAGAGGTCATTTCTTTGATCTTTTGCTGAAATAATAATTTCGTCGTATAACACTTTACTTAGATGTGTAATGTATTTAATTAAATCAATTTTTTTTTAAAAATAAGCGTATAAAATTGTCTCTTTTACCTCTGTTTGAGTTCTCAAAAGAGATTCAATAAACCCTAAATATTCTAAACACCAAGTTACACAAAATTCAGGAACTGATTTACATGTTCGTAAAAATATATCGGAAGAAAAACTGTCGAAGTTTTTCAAAATAGTTACCATAACAATTCTGTCAAAAGCATATTTTAAAAGTTTATAAACTTTTAAATGAAAACAGTTTTGGTCGGACCTTGCAAGATCAGCAAATGAATTTGTAAGACATTGTTTCAAAATTGAGGACATGTCACTTTTATCCCAACCTAGATTTTTCCCGTCGAATCCAAAACCATAATGGTCCCATAACATTGAACTTAGAACTTCATCATTTGTGACACAGAGAACTTCTACAAAGTCATCTTGAATGTCTGATTTCAAAACTCTCCAACCCAAAGCTTTCCCCGCAGAACTCATGTCTTGTAGATCATCACAGAAGAAATGAATCTCTGTCTCCTTGGCTTGACTTGTATCAGAAATAACATGTGCAGCTGTGACCATTATAAAATATGTCTTTGTTGTGTCTGCCAAGTCTGGTCTTATATCATCATCGTTAGCGAGTCTGATCACAAATCCACTTGCCATGTTTTCTCGATGAAATCGTTTATCATTTGCAATTTTTAAACTCACTCTAAGTGTATGGAAACTCACTCTAAGTGTATGGAAACTCACTCTAAGTGTATGGAAACTCACTCTAAGTGTATGGAAACTCACTCTAAGTGTATGGAAACTCACTCTAAGTGTATGGAAACTCACTCTAAGTGTATGGTTAATTTCATCCGAATGCAAAAAACATCCATTTTCAATTACGCTTTCAGGCAAAATTTCTTTAAGAGAGTTATCAAAATTCTTGAACTGAGATTTATTTGTCCATTTATAAGAATCAGAAAAATACACAGTCCACGATGAACTTGAATTCAACACATTGCCATGATGTCTTGAGTGTGGGACACTAAAAATGGATTCTAAGTTTTTTAATTTATTGTTTATGTCATAAATATCTTCAGGAATAACAAAGACAGGTCCACCAGACGACCCTCTACATGTTGCCAGACTATAAATCAGTTGGTAATGTCCATGATGTGTGTCTGCACTAACAATGTTTCCAAAAATCACTTTCTTTGATGTCCCGTGATGATGGGAGATGTGAAAAACAAGATCCTGAGATACCTTCTCATATTGCTCTAGAAGTGTTATAAAATTGTTATAAAACCTTTTTGTTTCATTTCTTTCTTTTCTAAAAAACGTGCGATTATTTAATGTTTCAGATATCACGTGATCCTCAGCCTCACAGAGCACTTCGCTAAAGTCAGCGGGTAAGTACGTGTGAAAAACTCAATCTTCTAGACGGTGGGAAGGTGTGGAATCTGCTCGGAAGTCTCTCTGGTGCGGGGAAGGCCAAAAACCCGCAACCATTACTATCGGACAAGGGTGTCGTGGCGAGCGACAAGGAAAGAGCGAACGTGCTCAATGCTCACTTTGCCGCAGTGAACAATGAGTCAAAAGTGTCAAAAGAGACCCAAGAGCATAAGGAAATCCGGCGTCTGAAGAAAAGGGGAGCTCGTATCCAGCGTACTGGACCCCACCCTGAGATATTCACAGTTCCTTTCACAATGGAAGAATTGCAAAGCGCGCTCAAAAAGTGCTTGGCGGCGAAAGCACTAGGACCAGACAAAGTTCACAATGAAATGTTAACCCACCTGGGTAAACTGGGGAGAGAACTTTTGCTGGCTCTCATAAACCGAACTTGGACTACAGGTATTTTACCGAAAGTGTGGAAGCAGGCCATAGTGGTTCCCGTACCAAAGGAAGGTAAACCAGGCCATTTACCGAGTAGCTTTAGGCCGATATCGTTAACGTCTTGTGTGGGTAAAGTGGCCGAGCGAATGGTAAATGGACGACTCTACTGGTTTTTGGAGAGTAATAAGTGCCTACCACCGACGCAAGGTGGCTTCCGTAAGGGTCGCCAACCCATGGATCAGGTGATCCGTCATGTTCAGTCCACGACCAATGAACTTCAGAAGAAAAATCATTCGTTGGCAATTTTCTTTGATCTCAAGCAAGCATATGACCGCGTGTGGCGCGTTGGCCTCATGTACAAATTCCAGAAGTTGGGCGTTACTGGAAACATGTCCGGGTGGGTGACGGACTTTCTCAAGGACAGGTATATTACAACACGGGTTGGATATAGCCTATCGAGGCGGCTTGCTCTACAGGACGGACTCCCCCAGGGGTCCGCCCTCAGCTGCACTCTGTTCCTGGCGTATGTCTATGACTTGCAAGAGAGCTTAGTGTCCGATAATGCCATGTTCGCTGATGATCTAGTAATCTGGAGCTCTGGCAGGGACATCAACCATCTGCAGAACCGGCTGCAAAATGATCTCCATAGCATCGAAGACTATGCGAGACGGTGGAAAATGGTTGTGAACACCGAGAAGACGGTTTACTCTAGGTTCACAAATGGAAGGAAGGTGCTTAAGGCCGATGTTAAACTCTCCATAGATGGGAAGATTTGGTATGGGACAGGACTCCAGTCTACCTTGGGATCAAGTTGGATCAAAAACTCCGACTTCATCACCACGTACACGAACTATGCGCCAAGGCTTCACAAAAACTGGGCTTGGTGAAAAAGCTGGCTTGTACTAGATGGGGTGCAGATGCAAGACTGTTAAGGTCGCTCTACCTTAGCAGTGTGAGAGGAACAATGGACTACAGTTTGCCCGTCCTAGCCTTCGCAAGCCAAACGGCTTTAGAGGAACTGGACCGCATCCAAAACCGTGCTCTAAGGTTTGTATGCGGGGCAATACGGACCACACCCACGGCGGCGGTGGAGATTATTGCCAATGTCGAACCGCTCGAGGTCAGGCGGGAGAAGGCAGTCCTTACGACGGTAGAGCGCTACCGCCGCATGGAAAGAGAAGATCCCTGTTTCCAACTGCAGGACGAATGGGAGAAAAAGTCCAGATTGAAGCGACCATCCTTCATGGACATGGTGCCCAGTCTTGAAAAAGACGTTATTCTGCCCAGAAACAGGGAAAAAGTGAAAGTGATCCCCGCGCGGGGGCCACACAAAAGCCTTCCCCTACCAGACATCCGACTGAAAATGATTGGTACCAAAGCCAGCGAAAGCAGTCCTCAACCAGACCCATCAGAGGCTGCACGACGCACGATTGAAGCCTACCCGAACAGCTTGGTTAAAGTCTTTACAGACGGCTCATGTTTCAAGGAGAAAAAGCATAGCGGCTACGGTGTCCTCATCCAGTATCCCGCAGAGATAGCTCCACCCGAGGTTTTTTTGTTTACTTCTCAAGGCGACTTCAGACCAGGTTTTTTTGTTTACTTCTCAAGGCGACTTCAGGCCAGGTTTTTTTGTTTACTTCTCAAGGCGACTTCAGACCAGGTTTTTTTGTTTACTTCTCAAGGCGACTTCAGACCAGGTTTTTTTGTTTACTTCTCAAGGCGACTTCAGACCAGGTTTTTTTGTTTACTTCTCAAGGCGACTTCAGACCAGGTTTTTTTGTTTACTTCTCAAGGCGACTTCAGACCAGGTTTTTTTGTTTACTTCTCAAGGCGACTTCAGACCAGGTTTTTTTGTTTACTTCTCAAGGCGACTTCAGACCAGGTTTTTTTGTTTACTTCTCAAGGCGACTTCAGACCAGGTTTTTTTGTTTACTTCTCAAGGCGACTTCAGACCAGGTTTTTTTGTTTACTTCTCAAGGCGACTTCAGACCAGGTTTTTTTGTTTACTTCTCAAGGCGACTTCAGACCAGGTTTTTTTGTTTACTTCTCAAGGCGACTTCAGACCAGGTTTTTTTGTTTACTTCTCAAGGCGACTTCAGACCAGGTTTTTTTGTTTACTTCTCAAGGCGACTTCAGACCAGGTTTTTTTGTTTACTTCTCAAGGCGACTTCAGACCAGGTTTTTTTGTTTACTTCTCAAGGCGACTTCAGACCAGGTTTTTTTGTTTACTTCTCAAGGCGACTTCAGACCAGGTTTTTTTGTTTACTTCTCAAGGCGACTTCAGACCAGGTTTTTTTGTTTACTTCTCAAGGCGACTTCAGACCAGGTTTTTTTGTTTACTTCTCAAGGCGACTTCAGACCAGGTTTTTTTGTTTACTTCTCAAGGCGACTTCAGACCAGGTTTTTTTGTTTACTTCTCAAGGCGACTTCAGACCAGGTTTTTTTGTTTACTTCTCAAGGCGACTTCAGACCAGGTTTTTTTGTTTACTTCTCAAGGCGACTTCAGGCCAGGTTTTTTTGTTTACTTCTCAAGGCGACTTCAGACCAGGTTTTTTTGTTTACTTCTCAAGGCGACTTCAGGCCAGGTTTTTTTGTTTACTTCTCTAGGCGACTTCAGACCAGGTTTTTTTGTTTACTTCTCAAGGCGACTTCAGACCAGGTTTTTTTGTTTACTTCTCTAGGCGACTTCAGGCCAGGTTTTTTTGTTTACTTCTCTAGGCGACTTCAGACCAGGTTTTTTTGTTTACTTCTCAAGGCGACTTCAGACTAGGTTTTTTTGTTTACTTCTCAAGGCGACTTCAGGCCAGGTTTTTTTGTTTACTTCTCTAGGTGACTTTAGAACAGGTTTTTTTGTTTACTTCTCAAGGCGACTTCAGACCAGGTTTTTTTGTTTACTTCTCAAGGCGACTTCAGACCAGGTTTTTTTGTTTACTTCTCAAGGCGACTTCAGACCAGGTTTTTTTGTTTACTTCTCAAGGCGACTTCAGGCCAGGTTTTTTTGTTTACTTCTCTAGGTGACTTCAGACCAGGTTTTTTTGTTTACTTCTCAAGGCGACTTCAGACCAGGTTTTTTTGTTTACTTCTCTAGGCGACTTCAGACCAGGTTTTTTTGTTTACTTCTCCAGGCGACTTCAGACCAGGTTTTTTTGTTTTCTTCTCAAGGCGACTTCTGTCCAGGTTTTTTTGTTTACTTCTCTAGGCGACTTCAGACCATGTTTTTTTGTTTACTTCTCAAGGCGACTTCAGACCAGGTTTTTTTGTTTACTTCTCTAGGCGACTTCAGACCAGGTTTTTTTTGTTTACTTCTCAAGGCGGTTTTTTTTGTTTAATTCTCTAGGCGACTTCAGACCAGGTTTTTTTGTTTACTTCTCTAGGTGACTTCAGACCAGATTTTTTTGTTTACTTCTCAAGGCGACTTCAGGCCAGGTTTTTTTGTTTACTTCTCTAGGTGACTTTAGACCAGGTTTTTTTGTTTACTTCTCAAGGCGACTTCAGACCAGGTTTTTTTGTTTACTTCTCTAGGCGACTTCAGGCCAGGTTTTTTTGTTTACTTCTCAAGGCGACTTCAGACCAGGTTTTTTTGTTTACTTCTCTAGGTGACTTCAGACCAGGTTTTTTTGTTTACTTCTCTAGGCGACTTCAGGCCAGGTTTTTTTGTTTACTTCTCAAGGCGACTTCAGACCAGGTTTTTTAGTTTACTTCTCTAGGTGACTTCAGACAAGGTTTTTTTGTTTACTTCTCAAGGCGACTTCAAACCAGGTTTTTTTGTTTACTTCTCTAGGTGACTTCAGACCAGGTTTTTTTGTTTACTTCTCTAGGCGACTTCAGGCCAGGTTTTTTTGTTTACTTCTCAAGGCGACTTCAGACCAGGTTTTTTTGTTTACTTCTCTAGGCGACTTCAGACCAGGTTTTTTTGTTTACTTCTCAAGGCGACTTCAGACCACGTTTTTTTGTTTACTTCTCAAGGCGACTTCAGGCCAGGTTTTTTTTGTTTACTTCTCTAGGCGACTTCAGACCAGGTTTTTTTGTTTACTTCTCAAGGCGACTTCAGACCAGGTTTTTTTGTTTACTTCTCAAGGCGACTTCAGACCAGGTTTTTTTGTTTACTTCTCAAGGCGACTTCAGACCAGGTTTTTTTGTTTACTTCTCTAGGCGACTTCAGACCAGGTTTTTTTTGTTTACTTCTCTAGGTGACTTCAGACCAGGTTTTTTTGTTTACTTCTCAAGGCGACTTTAGACCAGGTTTTTTTGTTTACTTCTCAAGGCGACTTCAGACCAGGTTTTTTTTGTTTACTTCTCAAGGCGACTTCAGACCAGGTTTTTTTGTTTACTTCTCAAGGCGACTTCAGAACAGGTTTTTTTGTTTACTTCTCAAGGCGACTTCAGACCAGGTTTTTTTGTTTACTTCTCAAGGCGAC